ACCCCCCCCCCCCCCCCCCCCCCCAAAAAAAAAACCCCAATTTCCCTATTATGTGAACTAAAACCATTATTAACAAAGGCATGAATTCTAACCATCTATAAGAAAAAAAAGTAGTCTCTCCCTTTTTGGGATATGAATAAAAAGTGGACATAATTTAAAGATAACAAATTATCTTCTGAGACACTTTTGAGAAAAAAAAAAAAATAAGATTTTGACATTTGTTTTCGACACATCATTGTACCTGAGGAAGTCAAGTTCTCTCGACGTCAAGACACGTCCTCCCCTCCGACAAACACATGTCTTCGACACCAAGGCAAGTCCTGTTCTCTGGTGATGACACGCTTCCTCAACATCGAGGCACCCTCCCATTCTCTTGCGCAGCCACATGTCCTCATCTCTAAGGGTACCTTCACTCAAGGGCAACCATGTGTTATCAGCACCGAAGGCACTTTGTGCACTCAGGCCTTTCTACATGTCTTCAGATTTTAGAGAAAGCAACTGATTGACAACTGAGAAGTCCCAGAATTAGACTAGAGATTATGAGGGTGCCCCCCCACCCCACTCACACCCACACCCACACCCACACCCACACCTACACCTAACCCAAAACAAAATCAAAATGACAGAATAAACAAGACACCCAACAAAAGGGAGCTAAACACGTGGCATAAAGTATAGATTGAGTGGTGAATAGACAGAAATACCTCTGCTGACATGTGATTATCCCAAACAAATATTTAATGAACCTTTAGTTGATGGGACATCCACGATGGCTCTGTGAGCTTAGAAAAAAGAGCATTAAATGATCTAAGACTTGAGCATTTACTGCCTCTACGTTAAAGAAAGACCATTAAATGCTCGTAGGGAACTGAACATTTAATAATGGGGTTTCTCCCATGCGAAATAGGAGGCACACTGCCCCATATCTGGGTGCTACCTACTGTCTAAACCCTCAGTAATAATAGGTCTTTGGAAATATAAATAGTTTTCAAAAACATAGTGCAAAAGTATGCAAACTCACTCCTCAAAAATACAAAACAATGTTTTTTTCTTTCCCTCTCTCAAATAACTAACTTGATCGTTTGAAAGAATACGACAAAAAACACTTTGACGTCCTTCTAACCTGTGTTTTTTGTGTGTCAGGAATAACCTACAACCCGCCGAAATCAATAGAACAACCCCTAAAACAATTCATCACCATTCCTTAGGCCCCCTTTGTCCCGGAATTGTCAACTTTCAGAGCAAATACAAGTTCATCTAGAGAGAGATCTGTCTTTTCATCTATTGTGCAAAATACACTGCACACACCATCTAAGAGTGTAATATGCGTACCCGGTGCAAAAGACTCTCACCATTGCGGAGTTTGGAAAGGATTAAATATATGCAGTCTTACCCTTGCAAACAAAGAGGCTGTTTGAGCGACTTGAAATCAAGAGGGAAATGAGGAACCAAAAAAGACCGAAAAAAGGCAAAAGAAAGATCATATAAATCACAAAAACACCGATGTACAATGTGTAGGAAAATCTAACATTGCATCACTACACTCATTTGATGGCATAACACAGTGATTGATGGAGAATAAAATACAAGGTAAACGAAGTCGTTTACTACATCTGGTGCTGGTCTACCCTGCCATATCATCTTCAGAGATTCCATCCCCAGCATACCTGCAACCAAATTCATCAACTAGAATGAAAAGGTATTCGGTGTACTATTGCAATGGAACTGACATTAAAAGTTGCAGGCAGGTAAAAATAAAACGAGATTGCAATTCATTGATAACATACAGTCCATCATTATCTAAGAATGTAAGACGAGAACAGAGTTTTATGTGACAGTCACGCACAAACCATTTCCTACCATGATTTGCTAGTAAGTTTAAATGAAAGCCAATGGGTTGAATTTAGAGAGCGCCCATCAATGGGGAACATATAAACAATCACAGCATACTAAATTGAGCCAAATTGTCTTTGAATAACATACCTACTTCTCTTTAAATGAGAAGCAAAACGTCGATCAGGTTGTCGTTAAATAAGGGGGTAAAATTTGGTGGCTTGACCATAAACAACTTTGGAGATATTTGGGAGAAAAGAAGGGGGCACATATTGAAGAGGAAAAAAATGCAAGAAAAACCAAGCACTGGGCGTGCTTTTCTGCCTCTATCCCTCTGATCAAACCACTCATATTGAAATAGAACATCTTAGAAACTGCCTACTACCTACCATGCATTCCGCCAGACCAAGGAAAGGTATGGAATACATTTCTAATGAGCGATGATCAAATAAAGACATAAAATCATCAAACAATCCCAAATTCCGGTTACAAGGACAATCTATTAGGAGGATAGGTAAGTTGATAAAGTAGTTTCAGTTCAAGAAGAAAAGGATTGGATTCTTGTCGGTTTAAATATCTCTCCATTTGACCAATAAATCCACATCGACATATAAACAAGCATCTATAGAAACAAATCAGAACAGTTATATTCGTGAAAGTATTATCCAAAGTCCAATATCTTCATTCCCCAATTTCCTTTTATAGATAACAAAATTAGAACTACAAGAAAACTTCTAGTCTGGGGATGAGGAACAAACCGCCAAGAAGTTGTTAGATTCTGAGCTTTTCTGTCTAACTGAAGGTTTTCCAAGGCAGCTGAAGCATGAATGACTTCTTCTGGAAGCTCATCACCATCATATCTCCAATTATATTCCTCTTTCCTGTAGCCAGACATGGAGGACCCCGCTCTCCTATCTAAAGGTATGAGAATATAAGATAAATCGCAAGCAAGCAGACATTGAAGAGATCAGACTAAGTGATGTTACTACTTACCAGCTGCCTGGGAAGCAAGAACCAGCCTGCCAGAAGAATTCCACAGGGTTTAAGCTGATTAGCAGAGTGGAAAAGAAAGTGGACAAAATATAGCAGGGAAAGAAAGATATTAAATAGTATGTTTGTCAACACCTTCCTAGTGGAGGTAAGCCCCCAGCAATAGTTGATGAGGAAGGTCTCCTAATGTTCCGAGTTTCTATATTCGATAGGGATACGGTTTCAGGTACTCTCCTTGCTGTACCTCTGCCTTGAGACAAATTCTGCCCAAATGAGGCAGTAAATGATTAAAGAGCCAAATTTCACAACCAAAAATATAGCCCAGTTCACTCAGCAAACATAAAAAACCCTTGCTCCGACAACTGGTCCAGTGCAAAACGGCAAATGACCAGGTTCAAATATGTAAATCAGCCGATGGAAAACACTATTGTTATATCCCATGTTCATTCGCACTAAGGACCTACAAAACAAATCTGTCACCTAGATTTTTTTTTTTTGTTATTGATGCCACAACTAGCCTTTGAATGATGGTCTCACCTCACATGTCTAGCATTTCTTATATTTCTATTCATGCATGTTAACATCCTTTTTCTGGCCATGCTCATTTTATGGTTGCATTTGCTAGTTTCTTAATACACTTTTCCGCTCATTAAATAGTATTGGCCAATAACAGAGATTTACCACATTCTAATGGAATTCCCACTATAACTACTCTCTCTCTCTCTCTCTCTCTCTCGCATGCACGTTAACATAATAACAAGGAGGTATCTAGCAGCTAAGAATACCATCTGATCCCCCCCCCCCCCTTTTAACCCAATTGCAGTCGCAACAAATTCCAAGCATGTCCTACAACTAGTTTTCACCCTAGAACTGGGTCGGGGATTAGGATGATTTGAAAAGTTTTCACTAACTTGTTACTTTCATGTTAAGCAAAATTATGTGTGAAGAGACAAAGAGGATATTTCAATATTGTCCCAAACCCGGAACACATTTTGCATACATAGAAGTCCATCAAATATCAGTTCAGAATAGAGCGGCGTCTTTGCAGGCACTGAGAGTGATTGCAGATCAGATTTCTAACCAAGATCTTGCCCGGTATTTTCAAACACATAACACATTTGTATCTCTATCAAAACCAATAATCCTGAGGAAATATCCAAGCCAAAGTACCACCACCAATTTTTAAGATGTAAATATTCTAGACCTGAGAGAAGTGACTGATCGAGACCACCACACATCACTTATTAAATGTTCTACCCAATTTATAGTTTCATTTTAATACATAAGCATGTGGAAAATTAAACTGCCTAAAGTAGCCACAGAGCTGGACATAAAACATAAATGTGCATAATCACATTAGCGCAGAATGCTAGTGTCCAATGCAAGAGATCAGATCAGAAGGTTGAAATCAAGGATGAGAAGTAATATCAAACCTCATACTTCAAGAATCCTTCAAGGACATCCAAAAGCAAGGGACCACTGTCTCCATTCCTGTTCAGATCATATCCATTCTTGCTACTAAATTCTTTCAACTCAGACTTCCAAAAATCCTTTTGCTACATTATATGTCGAAAAACACAAAAATAGAGATCCGTTAGAAAACCGTAAAAGGTAACAAAACAAACGTACCGAAGAGTTACTGCAATAAATAGTATCACATGCAAAAAAAGAAATTTGCACATGCTTACCAAATTGCACTCTGGCAAATACACTTTTAAAGTGTGATTCAATTGTGCCCAGTCCAAGTATTCACATATCAACGAGGTTAGTAGCCTCCCTGCATTTAGCATGCCAGAGTGCAACCAAAGAAGGGGAAAATAACAGAAAGTTGATTAGGATATGCTACCATAAGAAATTTCAAACCACTTCCAAAACTACAAGATCAGATAGGCAACAAAATTGATAATTCATCAAAGCTTTACATATACTGCTTTTGCCCTGGAAATATGGTTGTTGAATTTAACTGCAGTATGGGAGTAATTGTATAGTTTCGAACTGGTCCCAACACCCAAGTCGTTTCCATTATGGTCATTGGGGCTAGTATGAGTCACCCAGTTCATCTTCTTCTTGACAAGCAAATGAATAGTTCAATAGTCATTTTCGAGAATTCAGAAATATTTAAAGTTTTTTATGACTAATACATTTACCTGTGAAAAGACAATTCAGCAAAAACTCTGCACTGTTGAAATGGGGTCCCTAAACATCTTCCACTGTTTGAAAAAGTTAACAACCAATTCCTCCTATATGTTGGTTAGCAGATGTTCCCCATGCTTATAACTTGAAGGCTCAAAACAAACTCTTTTACTTGATCACTGAAAACTGTATTGAAAACTTTCTGTGGACAAAATGCACTTATGTTGAAGAGAAATACCATATTAAATTTAAAAAAAAATGGTAAATTAGCACTAAATTACTTACAGGACAAAGGAAATAGAAAAAAAAAAATCACAAAACCAAAAATTGCTGCTGCCAGACTAAATGCAAATGATAGCTAGCAACATCCAACTCCAGGCTAGTGAACCTAGGAAAAAATAAATGGCTCGAGCTGGATATTACGTCCACACAGTTAGAATTTTTTTGAGCAATGCATTCTAACAAACTCAGTTTCCAAAATTGCTTCAGTTCAACCCAATATAGATGAACCATGATTAGGTTGCCCCACTCCCAAACCAGACATAAATGACAATAATCCTAGCTCCATAAAAACTCAACCAATTACAAACTGCAATACGTAAAGCAATAATATGATGAGTCAAATGAACACTGTCCTTGGCCATTTATGCCCATGAAACTACAAAACCTCATAACGAAAAATTTAGTTAGCATTTCCAATTTCCCATTGTGAAATATTAACATCCACCTTTTCACTTCATGAAAAGGAAAGAAGGAGAAAGTAGGTTTGAAGAGGAACCTGAAGGAGAAGCATGCAATTTTTTTGCACGGTCATTGCAGCTACCCAATAGTGCAGGAGGCAAACCTTCTTCTTTCTCAATTATCTTATCCTCTTCTTCAATCGCTTCAAATACACTTGCTCTAAGTTCAGCCTAGCAAAAACATCAAACAACTAAGCATAGAAACATCTAATCTCATTATGTTTGTAAACAATGTCAAGAAAAGGAAGAAGCAAACCCCACAAATGTTACTTGAAAATTAAATAGATGAAAATTATAAATTGTTATCACACAACACATAAGGCAATAATGCGTAGAGATAGCAAGACTTCTATTTAGCTTTTAGTGCCTGCCTGTGATTCCCCACATTAACCAACTCACTTAGAGAACATACACCTTTCACAAATCAATACATTCTGTTGTCTTAATGCTATGCACATCCTCATTCCTCTCTAGAATCCTTTACAGATTTCGAAGAATCTTGTCATGTCCGCATGCACCATACTTGCAAACAGGGGGTACAGACATCCCACACAGGGGAAAAGCCCAAATACTCCATTAAATTGTTAAAAACCCCAATATCCAAAAAGGTGCTAAGGAACGATTTTTTCCTCTTTTAGCAACAAGCTCACTACATTTTGATCAAATTAAATAAATTAATCACATAAAAATCAACAAAGAGAAAAACCCAAAACCTTTTTTATCCTGAATTACATCCATGAAATCAACACACAACTGTATAGACATAAAACCACCCGATCCATCAATCGTTTTCGCCTCATTGCAGTGACTATACTGACACACAATACCGAAACACGCATACATCTCCATGACAGCAAATTCAGAAATAGTGAACGAACTACGAACAGAAATGTAGTGAGAGAAAGTGAAGGGGTCATACCCGGATCTTGGCGAGTACGCCGTTCTTTTCTAAGGTTCGGGTGACCAGGGTCTTCAGGTCCATCATCTCTCTAGCGTAATCGTCCATCTTTTCTTCTATCTATTGTCTTGCTCTCAATTCTCAGCTCACGAAGCTTCCTCTTTTGTCTAAATATCATAGTCCGATTCTGATAGCTTTTCGTTTGGTGGATATGCTAGCGAGCTGAGCTTGGGAGGAGAGAAGACACACCATCTCTACTCCAAATTCGTTTACAATAATACTATTTAACCTAATTTATTAACTTAATACATCTTGATACTTTTTTTTTTAATAATATATTCTTTTTGAATAATAAATGCACCATTTCATTCAACTTGAAAATAAATAATTACAATCAGATAAAAGAAAAGTCTTAAACTTTGGTGGTGGACAGCTGACCCAACTTAATGGTAGAGTATTAGACATAACATATGCTATCACCCAATGAGCTACTTTATTATCGACTCTAGACTTGTGTAAAAACTTTAAGTTAAGTTGTCTTACAATAGCCTTAATGTCTTCAACCAAAGAACTGATTTCCAAAGGGGAAACTCCTTCAGTTGAATCACCTCAGTATTATCACTTACGATAGTGGCCCGCTGGAGTTGCATGGTATAGACTAGAAGACAGGCTTGCCACACAACCACTGCTTCTGAGTATAAGCTAGACATCATCGGAATTTGTTTGCCTATGCCATCCCTGACTTTACCATTGCTATCCCTTACAATAATTCCTACAGCCGCGTCCTTTCCTTTAAAAGCTCCATCGCAACAAAGCACTAGTCCTGTGCTTAGTACTGAGTTTTGAGTCTCCTTTTGGACTGGTTCAGACGCTTGGCTCATCGAGTGGAGGGAGTTAAGAGAAATTACCTAATTCCAGAGTGATTGTGATCTAAGGATTGTAGCAAAAACATTTGTCTCCACTTAAATGTAGACTTTCTGATTTTGCTTTCCAAATAGTCCATTCAATTGTTGCTATTTTTCCCACTACTTCCAATGCCCCCTGGTTGTTATCTAAGGAGTCTAGTACTGAGGAAGACCATTGAGAGATTGTGATTGGAAGTTCCTTTTCAATTCTAACACCGATCTCCGAGCCAAACCAGACTCTTTTGGTCCATTCGCATCCAAATAGCATGTGCTCAGTTGTTTCCACTTCACTTGAGCATATTGGACATTTTGGCGAAGGGGCACATTGTCTTTTGAATAAAATTTTTGTAGTTGCTAGGCTATTGTTGCATGTCCTCCACCAGAAATGTTTTACCTTTGGGAGTGCCTTCAAGTGCCAAACAACAAACCACAATTTAGGATGGGGAGTGAACAAAGTGCTGGTTTCCTCTTGTGTATTCTGTTTCTGGTCTATAGCCATCAAGTAGCCAGATCGAACTATGTATTCTCCATTTGGATTGGGTTTCCAGATTCTTCTATCTTTCCTTTCGATCTTTGGGATGAGAATAGATTGGATAGCCCTTATTTTCTCTTTGTTGAATAGGTTCCTTAGCAAGCTGGTATCCCACTCCTTGGTTGTTTGATTGATCATCTGACTTACTAAAGTAATGTCGCAACCTGGAGGTTTAGTGCTTATAATTGAATCTCCTTTCAGCTGTGGCACCCACCTATCCTCCTAGACTTTTACATTGGTTCCCTCTTGAACTTGCCATGTAAGTCCCTTTTCCAATAATTCCCTCTGCCAAAAAAAGCTGCTCCAAATCCCTGATGGCCTAGCTCCCCTTTTTGCTGTCATGAAATCGTCTTCTGGAAAAAAGATAAATTTCAAAAATTTTACCTAGAAGGAGTTTGAATTGTTGACTATCCTCCAATATTGTTTGGCCAGAAGAGCTTGATTGAACCCATGGAAATCCTTAAATCTCATTCCTCCCCTTGCTTTTGCTTCCACCATTCTATCCCACTTTTTCCAGCATATTCCCCTTTCTTTCCCTTCTCCACTCCACCAAAAGTTTCTGACATATCTATCCAGCTTGTTGCAAAATTTTTTTGGGAAAGCCAAGACTAACATTGCATAGTTAGAGAGAGCTTGAATTACTGCCTTGACAAGGACTTATTTGCCTGCTTGCGACAACATTTTGGATTTCCACCCTTGCATTTTCTTAAGGGCCCTTTCAAGTAAGTAACTAAACACCTCATTTTTTGATACCTTCCACATGATTGGAAGTCCTAGATACTTTACATTTTGAGGGATTTGCTGTATCTTCATCATTTGACATATCCACTATTTTTGGTCTCCTAAAGTGTTAGTAGAGAAGAATATACCAAATTTTTGGTTATTCATGCTTTGTCCTGAGGCTTCACAATAGGCCTCTAAAATTCTCATGACATTGGTCATCCCTTGTTCTGTGGCTTTGATGAAAAAGAGGGAATCATCAGCAAAAAAGATATGGGCAATAACGGGGTTTCTCCTCCTTACTTTAATTCCCATGAACTTCCTATCTTAGAGCCTTTTTTTGAAGCATTCCCGATAACACATCAGCTACCAAGATAAAGAGGTAGGGAGAGATGGGGTCTCCTTGTTGAATTCCTCTTTGGGGTTGGATAACACATTTCCTTTCTCCATTTAACACAAGTTGATAACTGACTGTGTTTACACACTACATGATCAACTGAATCCAGTATGGATGAAATCCCATTTTCATAAGGACAACCTCTAGGAAATCCCATTCAATCATGTCATACACCTTATTTATATCAACCTTGATCACCAATTCTAGAATATTCCCCTTCTTTCTCAGCTTCAAGTAGTGGAGGACTTCTTTTGCTATGACAATACTGTCTTGAATTTGTCTGTTTGGAATAAAGGCAGCCTATTGTGGAGAGAGCAAGATTCTCATGATCTCTTTCATCCTATTTGCCATAACTTTGAGATTATCTTGTACAGGAAATTGCAAAAGAGCAATTGGTCTGAATTGTGTTGTAGTTTCCGGAGCTGTTTCCTTTGGGATAAGAACGATATCAGTTTTGTTAAGTTTAGTCAACATCCGCCCTTCTTCAAAAAAATGCCTAACAGCATCACAAACTTTTTTGCTGATGATATGCCAGTACTTCTGGTAAAAGATTCTAGGAAAACCATCGGGCCCGGGTGCTTTGAGGGCCCCTAGTTGCCTGGCTGCTTCCAACACCTCTTCTTCTTGAATTTCCTTTAGTAATAGATATTTATGCCCTCAGTCATTTTCCTCTCTACGTTTGAAAGAACTTCGTCAAAGTTTCTTGATCCAGATGACTCAAAGAGAGAACTAAAGTATTCTTTGATATGATTATTTAGATCTTCCTCCTCCTCTATCCACTCCATCTCCTCATTTCTTAGTCTTTGGATCTGGTTTCTTTGTCTTCTTTGTACTGAGGTAAGATGAAAGAACTTTGTATTCAGATCTCCAGTGCTTAACTAATTAATTCGAGATCTTTGAAACCAGTACTTTTCATGATTTTTTCAATTTCCAAAGCAAGGTTTGCTTCTATTTTCAGGTTATCTTCTGAGGGCTCTTTCATTTGTGTATTGTTAAGAGTATTAAGGTAGTATATATAAATTATTAATAGTGTTAGGATATTATGTGTAAATACAAGATGGTGTATGTGTAATTCTTATGATTATGAGTTACCTATAATTACAAGTGATGTATGAGGGCTAGGTTAAGTTTTTAATATCTCTCTGTTTCTCCCAAAATATTGTCTCTAATATTATTACGTTAATCTTCCAAACTTAACATGGTATCAGAGCAATACGATCCTAAAAACAAATTTTAGTGTGAATTTGTGTTGTGAAAATTACCTTGATTGGTGTTGTTACTGTTGGGGTGCCACTGTCGAAGTTCAGACATTGTGGTGGTGTGGTGGCTTCTACGGTAGTGTTGTGGGGTCATGGTGCTATGGCTTCTGCGGGTGGAGAAAAGTGGTCGACATCGGGGCCATATCGGGGCCTTTAGTTGACTGTAGTAGATGTGTGGTGGTCACTGTGGTGCTGTGGTGATGTGGTGTGTGACGTCGTCGAAGCCCAGGTCTCTGGGAACCCTAATCTCAATGAAGAAGAAGAGATCCAACAAGTTGGATCAGATCGGGTCAAGCCCATTATTTTAAGTTCAACCCACGGTCCAACCCAAGACTTGGTCCAGCTTAGACCGGTTCAATCCGGTTCAGCAGTCCAGAGCCCATAGCCGGTCCGGTTCAAAGCCCCTATCAGGTCCGGTTCAGCGGTCCAGAGCCCTTAGCCGGTCTGGTTCAGCAGTTCAATACCTTTTTTAAGGCCGGTTCAGTGGTCTAGCCCTCTTTTCTAGTGCAGTCCAGCGTCCCTTTTCTTTCGGTTCAGCACACATGGTCCATTTGTTATGGAACCCAAGCAAGATACAAGGTCCATTACTCCATCTTTGTCCCCTTCGACTCTTATTAATAGTCTTATGACCTTTATTAAACTCAATGAAACCAATTATACTTTATGGTCCTGATCTGTTCAAGTCTTTCTTCGAGGCAAAGGATTTAAGAAATATTTGGTGAGTCCTAAACCCAAAGAAGATACTCTTGGGTATGATCACTGGGAGCAAGAGGACCCTCAAATTATTTCTTTACTATTGAATTGTATTGGGCCTAGTATTAGTTCTACTCTACTCTACCTTGACTTTGCCAAGGAGATATGGGATCACTTGACCACTATGTATTCTGGTACAGGTAATTTTACCCCGTGCGTATGAGGTGTGCAAGGAGTACTTCCGATTGGAACAGGGTACTTTGAGCATTGTGGATTATTACTCTTATATTCGGGGAGTCTGTGAGGAGATGAAGACCTATCATCCGTTTACTACTAATGCAGTAGTTTGGCAGAACCAACATGAGGACCTGAATGTTGTTAGGTTTTTGGTAGGATTGAAACCTGAATATGAGGCTATTCGTTCTTAGATTTTGGGTGGTTCTAGTCTTCCATCACTACTTGAGGTTTTCTCTCATTTACAGTGTGCTACACTGTCTAGTCCTTTAGGCATTGATCATGGTGTCTCTACTGATTGCTCAGCACTTATGGTTCCTAGTTGTCACAATAATGGTCATCGAGGTGGACGTGGTGGTCGAGGAGGTCGCAGTGGATCCCGTTCCTGTTCTCACTATGGTCGTGGAGGACACACTGTTGACTTCTGTTGGGATTTACATGAAAAATCTTCAGGTGCTGCTAATCAGGCTTCTTATCAGCATGACACCTCGGTTGTTGCTTCCATACCTTGGTCAGCTC